TTTTTTTTAAAGAAACTACATACAAACTAAACAAAGAAAAAATACAATTGGAAAAAGAGTCATACCAATAAGAAGAATAATGTGAATCAATCACCCAATTAGCATTATTATGAGTCTCTACGTTGCCCTTAGAGACATGACAAACTGAGCTGCAATCTAAAGTCATTGAAAGATCCCTAATATCCGTAAACACTTAAAAAGAGGGTCCAAATCCTCCGAATTAATAATGCTGCCTACAACTTTCGAGAGAATCTGTCAGCACCGCTTGCACATTTAATTATGAGTCCAATGCAAAGCGGAGCCCATGACGGAACGCCAACGCTCCCGTTAATAAAGGAGAGAACGAGCACCCAATGCTAGTAGCGAAAGTTGTCTGACATAAGTCATTTTTATCGCGAAATAATTATTTATGCTAAAAGCTTATATGCATTGGTGCAATGTAAATTTTATACCTAATAATCCGATTTGATTCAATCAAAATTGTTATTATATTGAAATTACACTGTTCATTGCTGCAAAAACTTGAAAATTTCAACTTAGATTGATTTGGCTGGCATAACTATATTTTAAAGCATTTTATATTTGTTTGTTCATATTCACACATATATATTATTTAAATACCTTTATGTATAAAGCCAACAAGATATAAATTATAAAGTTATTATAATACAGTAGCAATATCATTTAAAGAAAAAATACAGTATAATTATTAAAAAACTATTTCAAAATTTAATATAAAGTTTTATTTTCTTACTTTTTTTAATTATAGAATTTTCAGTTAATTACACGAGTGTTGTATAATATTTTGACCAACAAGAAGACTTAATCAGACATAAAAAAAAAAAGGTCACAGTGTGCAAAAATTCATGAAAATGGTCATCACTCAACCTGCAAAGCAGTAAAAGCACCACATATTTAAGCTAAGGTCTCATGTTCGAGTCCTTATGAATGTAAAAAACTTTGTTGAAAGACTCACCCACTATTACCAGGTGTGCGATCCAGGTCGACCAACGGATTAGTCGGGACACTACCCAAAAAAAACACCACATATTTGACTTGAAAAAATTATCACTATTTTTTACCAGGCAAAAGAGTTTTTCACCTTCTTGGGGGGGTTTTGACCAGAAAAAACAGAGAGATGGGAAGGTGAGAGAGAGAGTGTGGCTTCTCTACTACCTGACCTAGCATATGAAAAATCTTGATTTTAGAGCCCCATTTTGGGTAGAAAGGGTCAGCAAAATCAGCATCAACACCTGTACCATTAATGCTGAGCATTAAAAAAAAAATGTGAACTTTGAAGATTGGGACCAAA